TGGATAAAAATGCCAGATCCAGTCTAAACATCTGGCTGACTGTGTGACCAACCACAATAATGTCTCTTCTTCTAGGAGGGCTGGGACTATATGAACAATTGATTATGAATAGAATTCACTTTTTTTTTGGTTTCAGATGGGGCATTTATCAGAAAGGAAGGCTCTGCTTGTAACAAAGCTTTCTATAATTAAATCATATTGAATCACTTACCTGGTCATTTGTTATTGGTATTGCAACAAAGTAGTTAGGCACATCCCTTTTCTGTTTCTTATAGATTATTTGTTCTTTGTGGCCATATTCCTTCTCTTCTACAAATATATTTTGTGCTCCTTTATCTAAACTAAATAGTTGTTGATCAGAAACATTCTTCTGTAACAACTCTAAACTGGGTTTTTTTGAATCTTCCTCATTTTTATTCCATAGATGAGCACTTAATGTTCTTGTTGATTCTGCATTTTGGGTCTCATTATGCAGTTTCTTCTCAGTGACGATTTTCTTTAATTTATTTTCTTTTTGCTTTGTCTGTAAAAGGTTTTCCAGCATTAGCTGCTTTGAGCTCTGGTTCCACCTAAGCTGCTGCGGTAAAGTTTCTTTTAGAATGGAATCCTTCGCCTCTTGTTGGACACGCTTGGAATCCATCACACATCTCCCTTCCTGAGCTTGCTGCTGTTTTATTTCAGCAGCTATTACCTCTTCCCCATGTTGTGCCTGCTGCTTCACAGGAGATATCTTCTTAGGTCCATTGGAAAACTGCCAATGGATATTCTCAGGTGACATTTCTCTTCCTAGACTCTTCTCTTCTAGCTGCATAGTGACACATGGAGCCAGAATCTCCTTTTTTACATTCTGCTGCACCATCTTTACAGACACAGATGATATCGTTCCATTGTGATTCCACTGCTGTTGTACATCAACAGTTATAGATGGCATATTTTGTTCTATCTTTTGTGCCTCTATAGGCATCTTTTGAACCTCTCTTTCATCCCGCTGCGGCTGAATGCTCCCTATCTCATACTGAGACTTATTCCCTTTCCTCTGTTCTATATGAACCATCCCACGTGGTTCCTCCCTTTCTCTGATGTCCTCTATATGGGCCTGTACTGCCATTTGGGACAAAGTTTTTACTTTGGCCTGTGGTATATTTCCTTTCATCATTTGTTGACCTCCATTTAGATGGCTTGGCAGCTTCTTTGCCTCCTCATTTTCCTCACTCAATAACAGCAATTGCTGATTCATCACTTTGGATTAAAGCCAGTGTTTTCCAAAATTTGTTTGTCCTTAAAATATCTTTTTTACAGGCTTGAGATCAATTGTCTAAAGAACTACAAGAGATTAAAGGGAGGATAGTTGCTAATACTAAATGCCAACAATGAAAAGTTCCATTTGATTAGATAATTCTAGCACATAATGAAAACAGGCTAGGGCAGCAGGACTGTGCTTTGTCCATCATCGTTGTCTACATTTCACAAGAATTTTTGGTGTTGAGAACTAAGTGGAAAAAACAGGAAAAGACCATTTTTAGTTACACAATTTTTGTCCTATGATGTCACCTCTGAAGGATTTATATTTCTCAAGTGGCAGCAGATAACCCCATTCATACCAGCTATGCCATGCCCAAAGGTGGGACATAGCAGAATGAGCATTCAGGAGGAAGGTAATCCCCCTTGATAGTTTAGAACAGTGTTTCTCAACCTTGGCAGCTTGAAGATGTGTGGACTTCAACTGGCAAGCTGGCTGGGGAATTCTGGGAGTTGAAGTCCACACTTCTTCACGTTGCCAAGGTTGAGAAACACTGGTTTAGAAAGTCATTTGCAACTTTGCTTGTTACTTACAGCACAAGAGAACTGACTAGTGTAATAATAACAGATGTTCTCTGTACTTTCTCCCTTCTTGTCCTTTCCTGTCCACAATCCAATTTCATAATAAAATAAATAATGGTAGTTGAAATACCGACTACAGGAATCTTACAGACAATTAAATAGCATTGAAGTAGGTTATGATCAAATAAAAGCTAATTCAACAAATCTCATGAGATAATGAGGTAGAAGAAATTTTGATTTTAAAAAGGAAACTGTTATTACCGGAAAAAGAGATACATATGATCTATCCTGCTTTTGATGCCAAAAATGCTTCCATGTCTCTTACCACCTCTTTAGTAGCAGTCAGATTGTGAAGATGTCAACAGATGAGAACTTCAATAGCTTATTAAGCTTAGGACAAATCGGTGCAGCACATCAAACATTTTATAAAGGCATAATCTAAAACGAGGCAGATATATTAATTGCAACACAGGCTTCTGGGAACTTCCAACATGCCTAAATTACACTCTAAATTATAGCACCTCAGATAAGGATAACTATATGACAAAAGCAAAATAACCCCTTCTCACCAATAAAACAGAATTGTTTAGATGAAGGTTTTGCTCTCCTCCCTCCAGTCCAGGGGGAACACTTACATGGTTTTGAGCTTAATGGAAGTCTGTTTGGCACACAAAATGCATAATAACCTTGTCAGAATACCATCATTTTAGAGGTGCTTTTTCCTTGGCCAGGAAAGCCAGGGAGATCTGACTGTTAATGGTATTTTAATGAACTGAGTGGAATAGTCTCATGTAAATCAGGGCAGTGGGTCACAAAACATATTCCATATTCTTTCCAATTAAGCCTAAATCTGATGACAGATTTTAGTGGTGCAGCACTTTTATTTGGGCTGGTTTGACCCAACCACACAGTAGATTAACGTCAAATTGGAAGACAACTCTATTCTTTAAAAACCCAAAACGAAAACCACCACCTTACCAGTGTTGTGGAATAATGATTCTACACCACATGAACAGGCAAGGCCAATCAGTAAAGAGAAACATTCATTCAGCAGCAATGGTTAGATCTATCCTGCAGGAGTAGACGCCGGCGTGGTTACAATACTTGTCAACATCCATAGCACAGTGTGCTCATTTTTCATTGGTTTAATGGATACTTTTGCCTTATACTGTATGGTTACATTTTACTTTTGTTGTTGTTGTTGTATTTGCTTACCATATAACAAAGAAAGGTACTTTGTTCCCTATGTGGTATTTTAAAATGCTGACTGGTCATTTCCTCATGCTAGACTATCCTAACGTATGTAATAAGTTATTCCCTTGGTTTCTTTGTACAAGATAATTAAGATCTGTCACTATACCAGCATGACAGTAGGCAAGTGGGAAGGTAAATGGAGCACAGAACAGCTAATGAAGACAAACTGATAACTAAGGGAAACCTTAGGGTATATGGGATGCATTTCTGGAATAATTCTAATTCCATAATTCTGGAATAATTCTAATACCATTCCATATTTTGGACTGTTCTGGTAACTAAGGGAAACCTACTAAAGCAAAAGTGAGATCTGCAATAAAGAGAAGCTAAGCATTGTTCACATTTTCCCACCCGCCTCCTGTCTTTGAAGTTCTTTTTTAAGAAAGCAAAACCCTTGGCCAGAGAGGCAAGCCACTTCCAGACACTGAGTGGTAATTTGTTCCCACACCAGCAGGTGGTTCCCTGCCACACCTTCACGCTGCTTCTTGACAGCCAGAGCAATGGCTTTCTACAGCTCTGCTAACACGTGAACTGTGGAATCCAAGCTGTCCTAGCACAATTCTGCAAGGTAGGAAAAGAAAGCCCTACACAGGCCGCGTCAAACTGATATGAGGGAAAGGTCAGGGACAGGAGTAAGAAAACAGTGCGGTTTCTTCCACCTCCCTTGCACACGTCTTCTTGGTGGTTATACAGATTGGATCCATCAGCAAAAGTCACTACTGTAGAATCCAAAGCAAAGAGGCCCCCAAAACCTGGTGCCGTGACTGATTCTACAGACAGTACTACTCTATGCAGATAAGACAAAATTATACATCTCCCTTCAAAACATTGCGGGACTGTGAAGCAAAAAAAGAGGAGGAAACAAAATAGCATTCAACATTTTATTTATTTATATTTAAATAAATAAATCAGTCAAGACTCTGTGGCCATTTGCCATTTGCCTGCAAGAGAGAACAGAGAACAGAGCCTTAGATGACAGCCACCTTTTCTTTTTTCCAGTAGGGGGAATTATGACCTTGTCGAAGATTTTCCATGAGGTCAACATTCCCACTAGTAATCCAAAACTATTTCAGGGACCAGCTGCCATTGCAGCCACCTGCCAGTCGCTCCTGTAATGGCACTTGTGCTGGTAGCAACCTCCCACAGTTCTTGCCTCCTGAGCTCCTGTTAAACCTGTTTGAAACTTGTTCTAGACTACATTTGGCATCACCCGGTTCTTAGGGAGAGGGTGGCTGAGGTGCTGAAGGTCATGATATTCCCAGCTCAGTTGATTTGGGGGTACGGTCCTTTATACAAAACTGGCCAGGATTGGGGCTTCTCTTCTGGCTCTCAGAAGTCTTGGAAAGGAACACATTTCCACATATCCAGCTTATCAGAGTGCCCTCTGAATGGTCTAAGATTAGCTAGGACTGCTCATATTCTTCTGAAAGTATGTTTAAAATATTATTAGGATTATGACTGTTACTATTATGTATAGAGGATGGTCAGAGGGAATATCTGTTACCAAGAAAACAATCAGATAAATGGGACTTGAGCCCAGACCAAGAAAGTGGTTTATGAAAACATCTCAGACAACCCCTCCTCCCGCAATTCATGTGAAGATAAAAGAGGGAGGAAGGGAAGCACATTCAGACTTGCAGGATTCTGTTACTATAGCTGTTCTAGTACAAGTAGCTTTAGATCTGCACAATGTCTGTTTCTTAATCTGGTCTACCTCATACACCTGACATATTATGACCATTACTATTATCATTATCCTTTTCTGCTTCTCCTTCCCGCATAACATTTTTTAGATTTTTTTTTGAGGGGGGGTCAGGCTGCCTCCTCCTTTCAACAGGATTCCCCTACCCCATTCAGGAAGCCACAGCTCCCAACAACCTTGTGTGAGGGCATCAACCCTGCCAGCCTCATGTGTCACCAGAGGAACATTTTGGAGCCAGCCATTTTGCATACTTTTCTCCCTTCTTTCCCTATCCATACAGAACCAAAATTATAATTAAAAATATTTATTTCAGCTCTACAAATAAATTTACAAACTTTAATAAAAACTGAGCTTTGTAGCTGCCTTTGGTCATTTTAATAAAGAAGTAGTTCAATTTTCCAAGTCCATATGTAGATACATGCCCATATCCTTTGAGGTAAGCATCCTTACTCAGAGCACATAAAAGGAGTAAGAAACCAAAGGAATTAGATGCATGAAAGAAGACAAAGAAAAGCTAGCTAATTATAATACCAATATCATTCACTATACCTTCCATATCTTTCTGTCCTACAGACCATCCTTGCCTCTACCAATCTCTTCAAAGGTTGTCTTTTATTCTTTAAACTTCTCACCTCTTTCAAGATCTCACAGCTCCAGCCACAACTTTCGTGGTGGTCTTCTTCACCTGTTCATTTTTTATTTATCTATTTCTTTTGCAATTTGATCTTCATTCTTTTTATTTGATCAACCTACTTCAACATATTTTTCACATTGATCATTCACTTTTGTATTCAAGCCACATCCATTTAGCACCCATTCATTTTTAATCCTAATTCTTTTTGTTTTACCACATCACTGCAGAAATACTCCATTCCCACTGCATTCAACTGACTTTTATGTTTCATACCAACTCACTTCCTTCTAACAAAGAGGGCAGAAACATGCTCTTATATACAGTCATTTTCATTTCACTGAAGTAACATTCATTTCTTGCAACAGACTCTATAATATGTACTACTTTTCTTCCATCATTTTCATATCTTAAAATTTCTCAATTTTCCCATCTTTAATTTTAAAAAAATTATGAAGTACACAAATTCATCTACTTGCTCTTGTTTTTCTATATTTATATAAAATGTGCAACTATATAACTTGTTCATTTCATTTTCCCTATCAGACACAACTACCTTGGTCTTTGATGCATTACTTTTTAGCCCCATGCTTCATTGCATTATACAGTAAGATTTGCTGAAAATCAGTTGGGTCCCCAATCAACAACACAGCATAATCTATATGCAAAATACACATACTTTTGCATTCCAAATCAATATGTTTATACCATCTTCATAAGCGTTCCTTGTATATATATATAAAACAACTCAGAACTTATTACACATCCTTGCCTTACTCCCCATTCAAGGTTGAATTGTTTGTTAAGAATTCTATTTATTCTCAATCATGCTTTACTTACATAATATACTATTCTTAATCATACTCAGCAACCAACTTTTAACTCTATATTCTCACAAAACGTTCTATAATTCAACCCTATTCATTGATTTATTGGATTTCTAGGATCACCCAACTCAAACAATGTGACTCTGGTGGCTTACAACAAAAACAAACAATAAACAGGAAAAATAACCATGCAGTGTAAAA